CGAGCACTGTTTCACTTTTTCGGGATTCACTGATACTCCATCCCTTAATATGATGTGTTCTAGGAAGGTAGTCTACTCGAACCAAAACTCACACTCAACTTTGCATACAATTTCTTTTTTCTGAGAACCTGCAAAACTTGAGTCAAATGGTGAGCGTGTTCCTCTCTGCTTTTTCAATAAATTTGGATATCATCGATAAATACAATGACGAACTGATTCAGGAATTGTATGAAAACTCTGTTCATTAAATCCATAAAGATGGCGGGTGCGTTGGTTAGTCCAAATGGTATGACCAGGAACTCATAGTGTTCGTACCTAGATGGGAAAGCTGTTTTGGGAATGTCTTATGCCTTAATTTTTATCTGATGGTAACCTAAACGCATGTCTATTTTGGAAAAAACCTGCGCATCCTGCAACTAATCAAAAAGGTCATCAATCCTGAGGAGGGAGTACTTGTTCTTGATCGTGATCCTGTTCAGTCTTCTGTAGTCAATACATAACCTCAACATCTCATCCCCCTTCCTTGCAAATGTAACTCCAGCACCCTAAGGGAGCATACTATGTCGGATGAACTCACTATCTTGCAATTAATTGATCTGCTTCCTTAACTCTTCCATTTCGACATGACTCATGCGTTAAGGGGCAATCAAGATAGGCTGGGTGTCTGACTGAAGATGTATGGTGAATTCAATTTCTCTGTCCACTAGCAGTTCAGGTAGTTCATCAGGAAACACATTTGGGAAGTCTCGAACTACCGAAATCTCTCGAATATAAATTTCTTTCTTATGTTTGCCTAGTTGGAGAAAATAGCCGAGTTAAAGCACTTGGTAATAGGAAAATTGTCATGAGGGAATAATGTTTTAAAAATTTTATTAATTTGTAAATGACTCTTCATTAGAAGTGTTGAATACAAGTTTCTTGTGAAAATAATTTACGGTGGCGTAATATTTCGCTAGCTATCTGCGGTGTGAAACCGGGGGTCTAAGGTTCTCCACTGCTGAAAGAAAAAATGCGAATGTTTCTCTCTACTATCTGTGCCTTGGTCAGAACGGTTGAGTAGGTACTGAGCTCGAACACATACAGCTGCTGTTTAATCTTATGACGGAGGCCCCATTCGAACTTCCTTGCCTTTCTACCTTCATCCATCATGCTCTCAGGGGAATACCAGTCTAACTCTAGGAACTTTCGGGCATACTCTGACATAGTTATATCGTTCTGGACTAGGTGTGCAAACTCCATTTCCTTCAGATGTCGGAGATGCTCTGGGAGGTACTCTGCGTTGAAGGCCATCAGGAACTGTTCCCAAGTGACTGGGACGGACATGGTGGCCTACTTGAGTTGCCACCAGCGACTTGCCTTTTCCACCAGCATATAGGTAGCGAGTATAACTCTCTATTCGAGAATCACCCAAAGAGTCTTGAAAACCTCTTCTGTCTCAATTAACCAGTGCTCAACCTCAACCTCTTCAAAGGAGGATGTCCCTACAAAAGTAGATAGGTTTAGTCTTTTGTACCTCTCAATGTAGTATGGGTTCATCATGGGTGGAACTAAGTCCCGTGGAAGAGTGACTGGATTGTGCTGGGGAGGGACCGGATGGCTTGTGGTGATACTAGATGATATGATGGAGGCACTAGATTGTACTGTGGTGGTGCTGGGTGATGCGATTGGGGTACCGGACTATACTGTGGTGGTGCCGGGTGATGCGGTTAGGGCACCAGACCATACTGTGGTGGTGTCGGATGGTACCGTGGAGGAACAGGCTCGTACCGAGGTGGCTCAGAATCCTCCCGCTGCAGATGTGGCTCAAACTGTGACAACGGGAGAGGGTCGGGTAGCTCCCTCCTTTCCTCCCGGGTCTACTGGGCAGCGATGAATCTCTCCAAAATTTTAATTACTCAGTCAACATCCTGTTGAATCGGACCCTCCCAGGCTACTCGGTTTATTAGGGATTTTCCTCTCCTCATCTATCTGTACCTGTATTTCACAAGAAATATTTGATTGATAATTCGGTTTTTGGTATTATCTTATGTCTTTATGTAAGAAATGATTCCAATGAACGCGGCTCTGATATTACCTGTAAAGGTCCGAAACTTAAAAGGAAATAAGTCATGAATTAAGTGCGGAAGTGAAATAATAGAGTTTAGGGTTTACATTTCTTACACAATAATTTAATAGGTCCGATAGGATTACAAGAATATTCATTCTAAAAGAACAAACGAAAATAAAAAAAATAAATAAAAGATAAATAACTGAGCATTTTAGGACAACCTTCACTAGCTTCTGAAGGGAGTCCAGGTGGTGAATTTATTTATAACCCTCTTGTTGATTGGGATTTAGGTCCTGATTTTCTTTATTTGAAATAGTTAATGAAATGGTGAGTTACAGTAACTTAATAAAGTTATTACACTACTCACTGATATAGAAATTGAAAGTTGGTAAAAATTATAAAAACAATCAATGGAGTTTTTGATTTAAGTAAATTCATTTATCATAAGAAAAATCATTTATTGCATATATTTACCGTTGCGAGATTTCGAAAATTAACCTATGGAAACAATAATTCAAATAATATTTCAACCTCATATTCAAGTGAATAAGAACAATAACTTTCTCTTTTTATTTGTCTACTGGTATCCCTGGAGGTCCACAGGGATGTCTCACTACGCGTGAACTCATATCAAACATTGTCAACAAACCGGCCGTCCCCATACCCCATTTGGTATGAGCGCCAAAAATATCATCCCTCAATACCCCGTCCGGTATGAGGGTGAATCAGGTCGTCTCTATACCCTGTCCAGTATGAGCGCAAAAAATAACAATCATCGATATCCCATTTGGTATGAGGCAACGTTCACGGCAAGGTTCCCTATGTACCCGGTTCGTCCACCATCTCAAAAGATATCCAGTAAGGTTACTATTTATTAATTCACATGATCAAACAATTTTTCTATTGCATATTAATCATCAATTTTACAAATCAACCATAAATCACGCTAAACAAACAATATATATATCAAGGAAGCACAATTGAATCATTTAACCATTTCAGTATATCATCATGTATTTAAAGCTACAAATTCAACAATCAATTAAATAGGGCAACAAATAAATGACTAACTGGTTTCCGACTTCATTGGTAACCTGTAATTATTTTCAAAATTTTATAAATTATACAAAATACTATATTACCGACTATTAAGCTTCAATTCCATAACAGAGATAAGGTGATGAATTCTTACTCGAATCGGTGTCCGAAACAACGAACCTTCTGCTATGCCTACTAGCAGTCTCTGAGTTTTTTGAATTTTCCTGCGAAAATTAAAACACGTTTCACGTACCTAAAAATACCCCTAAAAAACTCAAAATCGGTGTTAAAATCTTTTCCAGCCAATTTTGAAATTCCGGCACAGCGGCATTGCCATGCTCCGATGATGGCACTGTCGCCAGTAGCGGTGGTCTGTCTCGGCCTGGCCGTTTTCAGCCGGTTTTATACTAATTCCTGCGAGAAAACACGTTATGAGGCGTAGGTTGAACGGAAATAGTCAAAAAAAGAAAACCTACCGGCGGCGGAATTTTTCGGTGTGGCAGTTTTGCCGTCTCACCTTCGCACCTGGGCTTTTTTTTCGTTCAACCTGTAGAAAACAGAACGGTGAACACAATGGTGGAAATGTCGCACGAAACGGAAAACGGGAAGGGGCTCATTGGAGGAAGTTTCTGGTTTTGCCCGCAGCACCATTGCTGGGTTTTGTCCGTGATTTCCGGCTCACCCACCTTTCCTTTTGCTCAGATTTGGCGATTTAGGCTATCGAAATCAAATTCCGAGCAGAATTGAGAATTTTTACCTTTTTTGACAGTCGGAGGTGACTCCAGCACAGCGGCGGGCAGCAGTCAGCTCTCTTCTCCGATGACTGGTTCTTCTTCTCCGGCGGGAGGCTGGCGGCTACGGTTTGGGTTCGATGTGATGCGATTGATCTTGACCGTCCATCGCTTTTGATCTCGATCGTACGATTGCATTTAAAGATAAAATAAATCTGGATTGTCCATCGTGATTTGATTTCGACCGTACAATTGCGTTAAAAAGAGAACGAATATGAGTTGTTCATCGCATTTAATCGCAACCGTTCGATCGCGTCTGAGGAGGGAACGGATCCGGACTATCCACGCGCGCGGGAATGCTTTCGGGTCGTCCGATCGTGGGGCATGCAGATCGCCAGCGTGGCCTCCCGTGTGGCACTGAGTCAACGTTCCTTGCCATGCGACGCGCTTCGATTCGTCATGGCTGCTGACTGAGCGGTTCTAAATGATGCAATTTTTTTTAATTGTGTTTTGACCCCTAATTTTCGATTTTTTTTTCAAAAGCTCTTTCCGAACCTAAATTTTTACTCATTTTTTTAAAATTGTTTTCAATTTCATATTCAACTTATTTTTTCTCTAATTTTACGTTAAATAAAAATTTATTAATTTTAAAATTAAATTTTTATATATTTTTTAAATTTTAAAATTAATTTAGGAGCAAATTCTAAAACCAGTTATTACATAATATCTTGCCCATAGAATTTTAGACTGAGCCCATTAGGTGGTGAAAAATGTTTTTTTTTTTTTTAATCTACAACTTAACTCAAAGGTGGTCTCAGAAAATATTGGCATTTGAAAATTGTCTCTCACATGATGTTCAGCCCCTTCAATTGGAATTTGGTTATGTGATTCTGCTGTGGAATAATCAAAGCATTATGTTTGGATTTGACTAAATTGGACCATAACATCACATCCCCCTTAAGAAGATTCTTTTGTGCCAGCAAGAAGTTGTGATAGTAGAATGGAGTTGCAATAGATTATTTAAATATATTAGAAATTATAATTTCATTAGATATAAAACTAATATACTATTTAGAATATATTATTATAGTTTTGGTAACTTTAGGATTTAATTTTTTTATTTATTGTAAATATTTCCTATTTGTATTGATATTAGAATTCTTAATATTATTAGCATCAGTTTCATATCTTATATTAGGACTAGCATTTCCAGTCTTATTAGTTTTAGTATTTTTTAGTTTAATCAATAAAAATTACTTCGGGAGCACTATAAAATTTTTAAGAATTTTTCGATATTTGATTGTGTGATTTAATAAACTTTTTAAGTGTGATACTTAAGAACCCTAAGTGTGAGATCTAGTTTTTTTTTTTTTAAATTTCAAAGTAAGCAAATTTAACTCTAATTTTTCCTACATTAATTTAGTATTAGAACTAAAAAAATCCTTACTAAAAAAATCCTTCATCCAAATTCTTAAAATCCTATGCCCAAAGATACCAAATCCATCTAGCAAAAAAAAAATCTAAAAACTAGTACAAATTTGGTGGGTCAGTTCCTGTTTTGGCTGGTCAAATGCTACTGACCAATTTTACCGAGTCAAATACTACCTCAATTTCTTCCATCGAGTAAAAGGCATTCTGGCAAAGCGTCACAGTCAAAGGTTTTCATATCACCTAGTGTTGATTTTGGAGAAAAAAATATAAACTTTATTTTTTTTTACGCTTTTTATGTTATTATATTTGAGATATTTATAGAATTTTTAATTTATACATAAGAAAATTATTATTCTAATAGAATTCTGATTACATGAGATTACTATTATCGTAAAATTCTAATTACATCATCTCAACTAATTAAATAATAAAATATTTTAATCAACACAACTCCTAAAGTTGATGTAAAAATATCACGCATGCTCAACTTGTAAATTAAGTTCTAAAGAGATTTGTTACAAACCCAAAGACAATGATCGGAAATAGAACGGTCCGGTAAAGAAGCGGCGGCACTTGGAAAATGACTAGAGAAGGCTGGTCGTAATGGCTTGTGGGTGGAGGAATCAGATCGGCACCGGTATCAAAACCAGAGGCAGACGCGCACGAAAGAGCCAGAAAAAGGAATAGAGAAAGCTGGTCGGAGTGGCTCGCGCATGGAGGAATCGGATCAGCACTAGTGTCGTGAAACCAGAGGCAGACGCGCGCGAAAGAGCTGAAAAAAGAATAAGAGAAAGATAGTCGAAGTGGCTCGCACGCGGAGGAAATAAATCTGCGTCGGATCGCGAAATCTGTCTTGGTGCGGTCGGGTGTGTGCGATAGAGGGGAATATGTGCCAAATCTGTAAAGTTGGTCCCCGTGAGCACACCAGAAGGCCAATTCGAGCCAGAGGAGAAGATTTCCGGCAGCATGTGTGGCTCACGTGCTCAATAAAGACCACCGCAGTAGGCGCGGCAGGCTGGCGGTGAGGCAGACTCGTGGTTTGGGAGTGGATTTTTGATACACAGGTACCAACTCAACCTATTGTGCTATTTAGGGTTTTAAGAAAACCTTGAAAGCAGAACTCTAAAATAGTTATATTTGACTCTAATACCATGTTGATTTGGAAAAAAAATATAAATTTTATTTTTTCACGGCCTTTATACTGTTATATTTAAGATATTTATAAAATTCTCAACTTACAGATAAGAAAATTACTATTCTATTAGTAAAATTTTAATTACATGAAATTACTATTTTCGTAAAATTTTAATTATATCATCTTAACTAATTAAATAATAAAATATTCTAATCGACACGTAACATTTTACAAAGTTTTGGTAATACATGATGAGGCCCAAAGCCCCTTAAACTGTCAGCTTTAATGTAGTGAAAAACTATTTAAACATAACGAATTTAAATAAATAATGCTGAAAAATTTAATTCATCAAGATTTTTAAAGGTTGATTAAGATTTGGCTAATCCAAACTGTATGTCGAAGAATTCTTAGAGACTTTGGTGTGTTCTAAATGCATTTTCTCCACATCATTCATATGCATGATATGTGGTGATGCTCAAACCCAAAGTCCAATTTCATATAGAAGCAAGGCCTGTCCTCCAATAGTTTATCTATCAGTGGCACTGGGACCTGTCTTTTACTTTTTTCTTACTGACAGCCTAATAGTCCACAAAATCGCCAAAATCCATTCCCTTTCTTTCCCAGGAGTCATAGGGAGGAAAAAGAAAATTGCCGAGGTCAAAATGCCATATGTTATCTCAGGACACTGCCCTTCTATCTCATCCTCTTAAAAGTCTTAGTAGCAGTAAGCTGATACTTTATTGGCTCCAACACATGCTCCTAACATAACTCAATGGCCCTGATCGGACGGTGGAGGCAACATGATTGAAGTTAGGAGACAAAATTCAGTGGACAAATCAACCTTACGTGTCGTATATCAGATGCAGAATGAGGTGGTTTCAGATTGCTTAAATAGATTAGAGATTACAGTTCTATTACATATAAAACTATTATACTATAGGGAGTTTATTATTATAGTTTTAGTAATTTCAAGATTTTATTACTATTACTATTTAGTTTTTTATTTGCATTAGTAGTATTTCTTATTCTTAGGAGTAGTATTCCTAATATGATTAGTGTTAGTATTTGTTACTTCAATCTTATTTAGTAAAGATTACTTATGAAACATTAAAAATATCTCCTTAATTTTATTTCTGGAAAAATAATTCAGTTATTCAATAAAATATCTTAAAAGTTTCTTAAATTTTCTGATTGTGTAAAGTAATCACGGTCTCTAGTGTCATGCTCAAGACCTTTTAGATGTGTTTGTAGGAAATTCTAAATATGGTATTTAGGTTTTTTTTTTTTTTTAATTTCAAAAAAAGTGGAGAAATGAACTCTATTTGTTCTAATTCACTAGCGCACGTTTCTCAAGCACTGGAGCATTGCTACTGACAACTGGGCTAGCTGCTTACCAATTTTCAATGTGGATTTTGGCAGGACGTAACTACTACCTTCCTGCATGTGAAAAAGAGGTCATTAATTTGACAAAAGCAATCTATTATGTGGCTGATTCTTTGTGGTACACAAGGGGCATTTTAACCTCAAATACTTATTGGACCTACAGGCGATTGCTTCTCTTTGTTAATGTTAGCTCAACAAATCAACACATTTTAACTCCTCAACGGGATTTGCTGGTCGAGGTAATGAGGTTTTTGACACCTTCTCATGACAACATGACGATCATGACTTACTTGAGGCAGTCTGTTATGGTCCTTACTTAGTATCTTTCTATGGGGTTTTGATTAAAGGCAAAGGAGGTGCAAAATTGGATTGTTATGTGAAGAGGTTGTGGTAGATAAGTCTCTTGGTCTCCCAAAAGCATCTAATCTAGTCTCTCCTGGATTTAGAGTACTTGGCTCTTAAGGGATCAGAAGGTTCTGTCTAACAAGTCTTTAGCTACTATTCAATCATAAGGTTAGGAAATCCATCAAGCACAAGAAGTATACCTGCTTGATTCAGAATTCAGCTTCATGCAATACTTAACCAGATCCCAAAACATAATTACTGGTCCTTAAAATAATTGGAAATCAGTTAGTTGTTTAAGAAGAGTTAGCTACTTGCGCTTTATAACAACAAACAGGATATATGCAAGTGTGGATAGAAGAAGAGTGATTGTGAAAGGCATTGAAGAATAGTAATGCAAGTCTTTTTCCTGTCTCTTTCTGATTCTTATCTCCTGTATTTTTTTTGGTCTCTTTGCTTGGCATCACTATCATATAATGTGGAATTCTTTTTTCTTTTATGGACTGAATGGGATATCAGCGCATAGATTCTCAGAGTGTACGCGTCTATCTCTACTTTGGTTCTCCTTGCATTTCTAATTTTTTGAATGATTTCCTTTATTTACTTCGGTTCTCTTTTTGATAATTTGAGATGGTTTTATGTTCCCATTTTGGCATTTTAGTTAATTTCTTATTCATTCTTGTATTGATATTTATATGCATAACTACAACATAATATGTTATGTTTGAGTTATTATCGTCCATGCTTCAAATTTCTTGATAGTTAAAATTTGATCCTCAAATTGAAAGATGGGAATTAAACTCTCATCCTCAAAGGAATTTAAGATATAGGTGGTGGTCACTCAAATACAAGGAATCGTGTTTTCGTTTTGCATATATTAAAATTAATATGATATCAGAATAGTAAATTGATGAGAAAGTAAATATGAAATTATCTAGATGCAAATTAAATCATCGTAGACTCAAACACTCACATGGATTCTTTAAAAATCAACCCTTTCCCCTCCTAACTGCCTGCAACCCCCTCAAAGAAAAACTGTAGAAGCTTGCTTAAATCTTGTTTTCTTCTTCTTGGCTCATGTTATAGAATTGATGAGTTTCACAAGTGAGTGCATTTTCATTATAGAGAATGATCCGAAATGATGCAAGCTTTATCTTGGTTGGATCTTTGCTGAAGTCAAGAGATGGATATATTCATCAAACTATGTCTTAGGATGTTTCACAAGCCATTGCTATTTCATTCGGACGCAGGGAAGAAGAAGAAAAAGGATGTTATTTTCGAGAATATGATGCAAGTAATAGAACCAGAACTAGGGCTTTTGTTCTCTTGAAGTTGAAGACTGGTGTGTGTATTGAATTACAACAAAGGAACTTCTGTAGAATTGCAGTTTCAGGCGTGGTTAAATTCGGATTCTGTGTATGTTTATCTTTCAGTAACCTTATTATATCTTCTTTATAGTTGCTTATTTTAAGGGTATGTTTGGAGCAAGTGAATTATTCCTAACAAAATTAGTTTAAAACCCTTTAAGTAGAATTAAACAAAATATATTTTAAATTAAAACTATACATACATATATGTATATTTTTGTTTAAGAATATTACATCTATCATTCAAGGGTCCCTTGTGGTTGTTTTGAATATTTGGGTTTAGTTGTTACTTATAATTCTCTACCATTCTTTAAATGTTACAGCATCTTTTTGTCTGTGTTTTGGATAAGTGATATGGAAAGTTTTTCAAAATTAAAAGGGCAAATTTACATGAAATTTGAGACATAAATTAATTTAAATAAAAATTAATAATATATTAATTAAATTATTATTTGTGTCTATAAAGCACTTCCAATTTTATTAAATATTTTAAAATAAAAAATTTAATATATTTAATTAGACCAAAATTCTCCAATTCAGCTTTGGACCGGACCCAACGAGAAATAGTATAATCTTTGAAATATCCAAAAATGATTGTATGTACTTAAAATATTCGGAATTATTTTTAAAAATGTGGTAATAAAACATATGGTAAAAATTAATATACAAAAATTATATAATTTAATGTAAATTTAAATTAAAATTCATATTATAATTGCTTGTTATCACATATAATGTACTACTATACTCAAATAAAAATTAATAGAGAACCATTCTAATCCACAAAAATGAACCTCAATCATGACAACCAACATAACAAGTAGTTTTCAATAAAATTTACATCCATGAATGTTGATGAACATTTTCACATCCCTCAAAAAATTGCACCATCAATCCAAGTTTCATTCATCATCAAATTCATATATTTGAAAGATCAAATACAAATATTTGAACAATTTATGGATTACCGTTTAATCGAAGATTTATAATTTATCAAAAATAAATTAAACTATAGGGTTGATTATATTATTCTAATGTATTAAGACCCATATAGACACCTTACGATATTAAAATATGGACTAATAACATAATATTTGCCAACAAGAAATTATTTTTATGGAAAATAATTCAGGGTTAAATCTTAACACTCACTCCTACATATATATATATAATATATCTCATTGAGGGATGAGAAGGAGAAGACCTAGCGGTTACTTCAAATAGTTAAGACATATTTCCGAAATAAGGTACGCTCGTTTTATATGTTATTTAATTACTTATACGTTGTTTTTTTATATATTATTTAATTACTTATAAGTTGTGTATATAGTC